TAAATTTTATAGTATGCAAATTATATCTTTAAAAGCTGTTAATAAAAAAAACTAACAATAGCCCAGCCAGTGTGGCCCAGTGGTTGAACATCAGCCTATGAACCAAGAGGTCCCTGGTTCAATTCCTGGTCAGGGCACATGCCAGGGTTGCAGACTCAATCCCCAATGGGGGGCGTTCAGGAGGCAGCTGATCGATGATTCTCTCTCATCATTGATGTTTCTATCTCTATCCATCTGCATTCCTCTCTCTGAAATCAATAGATAGATAGATAGATAGATAGATAGATGTCTTTTTTTAAAAAACGAACTAACAATAGTAAAAGTAGCTAGTTTTAAACTGAACAGGGAAAACGAAATTGCTTGGGTGATTAAAGAAAAATTTTTGAAGGCCAGATCAGGGCCAGATACCATGGAAGCTACATAGCAGAAATATAATTTGGTCCTGGGTTAAAAAAAAAAGGTTTAAGGACCCATGTCTGGGGTTTGGAAGGAGCTGGTAAGGATCAAGTGTCATTAGCTTCTTTTCACTGGACCCTCTTTAGGCATCATGAGCAGTCTCATGAGGTAATATTTATGAAGCATGATATTCAAAATATTGAATGACTAGTAGGGCCCAGCACTCAGCCATGCTGGAGTAAGGTCATGGGAAACTGGATAATGTGTAGAGCCAGCTAGAGGCTTGAGGCAGTTTCTTTTCACTGACTGATAGTGAAGTTTCAATAATTTAATAGCTGGCATGGTTTTACTAGTACATACACCCTATCAGTCCTCCTTAGTCTAACTTCCATTTTATACATTAGGAATCTGAGACAGAAAATTAGGAAACTTGCCTGTCTGACTCATTCCTCTATACTGTTATCTTTACTGGGAAAGCCAGAGATCTTAAAAGATCAAGTGAGATGCCAACCCCTGCATCAGGCTAGCTGGAGTCAGAGGAATGAGATGGAGCATCCAACCTTAATAGAGGATCAAACCCACAACCTTGGTCTATCAGGACAGGGATGATGCTCTAACCAACTGAGCTACCTGGCCAGGGCAGAAACCTTATTTTCTTTAATTTGGCCTTTTATTTTGTTTGTTTTTTTCCTTTGACTCAAACTAGCCTCACCTTGACTTACCCACCTCCCTCTCCCTTGCTTAATCATTAAGCCCCCAGGACAATGAGGTTCTGGTCATCATCCAGTTTTCTTAGAAACAAGGTCCTGGATCTATTGACTATTGAGACAGTTTCCTTCTTTTTTTTTTTAATAATTTTTTATTGTTGAAAATATTACATATATCCCCTTTTTCCCCCAATG